CAACATTTGTTCTCGCTTCATCCAAAACCGAATGGTCGATCCTATTGAACATCGTGCTTAAGGTATGAAAGGATAAGAAATTAACTGGTGAAGACGTGTTAGGACAATCAGAGAAGATGAGATACATTTTATTAATCGATTGTTCTTTTCTGACTTTTATGAGGTTACGATTTCTTGGAATACATATTCGGGTAGATGTAATCGAATCGCCATTGAATCCTAAGTGTCTTCGTTCCATATTAAGAGAGAGAGTTTTCTCTTAAGTGTTTCGAAGTAATCAAATCACGATTTAGGGTTTTCAAGCTAAAATAGATTTGGGGGGAAAGAGGTGAGGGCAAAACCAAGTTTTATTATTGTAGCAGACACGTGCTAGTTAAAATTTAACGTCGTTTATAAATTTCTGTAAAACATGTTAGCGTTGTGAATGTCGAGGGTGTAAAAACAAGGGATTTTGAAAGTCGAAGTATATAAAAACCAATGTCAAATAGTTGATGGATGTATTAATCAGGCAACAAAAAAAATTTTGTGTATTTTTTCAGCAAATCTAATTAAGTTCGGATATTTTTCAGGAATTTTCCTCTTAACGGACATAATAAAGGTTTAATTGGAATGAGATTCCTTGACCATTGCTATAGAAAATTAGGATGCTTCCTTTTCTTGATAGTATCCGTACACTAAACCAAAAATACTATTGGACCCTCTCTTACTTCTTTCAGCATTTTGGATCTTATCATCATTAGAGTCGAATTAAACATCTATCAGTATCAAATGCTACTCAAAAGCATGTGATTGTTAAGCTTGTGTTTAATATTTTTTTCGGTTTCAATCTTGTGTGATTGTGAAACAATATCTTTTGAGTTAATTGCATTTAGCAGTTAAATGATACTATGTCTTTTCGGTTTGAACATGAAAGTCAATGTTGAACATGAAATAGGTTTGTCTTGATAAAATTCAAGCTCGAACCTCTCAAATGTTAGTTATCTCTCTTCGTCTATTTCTTCATGTCTTTTGTACGCTTTATATTATGTAAACGACTAAGATTTGTCCAAAGTCTTTTCCCATGTTGTTGATCCAAGAAATTCTCAACAGATATTGTACGCAACGACGGCCTAATAAGGGATTCATGTTTGGGTTTTTCAAAAGATGTTATAGACAGGCACGTTACAATGGTTGTATAAAACAGAACATGGAGACTCTATGACATCCCTCAATTCGGTTTAAAAGGTAGTATGATCTTTGCTGCAAAAGTTTTGTAGGCATCTTGTAATTCCTTGAGTGCATTGTTTTTCTTCTTCAGTCGCTTCCCCAATAAATTCATAAATATAAATATTTTTTAAATTTTCTCCCATCTACAAATAATCTCCCTATAAGAAAAGTACTCTGAAGAATTTCAGCATGCACATATTGTTATCCTCAAATTCTCAAAACAAATTTTATCATCTTTTCCTTAAGTTTAGGAGTATAATATTACCTCATAACTTAAAGCCTAAGCGCGAGATTCTCTAGCCGAGAC